CCGATTGTGTGCTGGGTATACCCATCCCCCCGCTTCTACCAAATCCTTGAAAAACAGTGTCGACGTGGTTTGCCCGAACTTTTTATGTCGCCATGTTACAATTCGCTAAATCATCTTGACGGGATAAAGTCTTTACCTCTGGGGCTCGCAATGTCTAACGCTGCATCTATAGATGTGCTTGCAGCATAGGAAAATTGTCAGTGAGTAGAATTTGACCAAGAAAAAGTCATGGATAGTAGATAGAGCAACTGGAGCCTGAATAATCATTCGGCCGACGAATTGGATTCGCGATGGGTATCACAATTCAACTGCCGCAATTATTTAGCTCACCGATGTCTATGTTGTACCTTCCACAAAAATTTAGTCATTTATATATTGTCTACAATAGGGGTTAAGTAGCTTTTCAGCATACACTAATTCGACACTAACGATCCACTATTACCGGATCACAGTTACTGAACTAGCATTTTGCAATCACTAGATTGACGACCATTAAATCAACATTACGGGTACGTGTGATGCAAAGGCAGTGTTGTGTTAATGAAAGGCCCACAATATGATTAGACGAACGCGAACGCGCAGTCAAATCGTACCCGCAAGCCCAGACAATAATCTTAGTATATACTATCTCTCGTGTAACACATGTCGAAGGGTATGCTGTAAATCACATTAGGATCATCCTGATCGTGATCGCGATAGATATGGTGTTTATTATGGGGACTTCAACACACAAGGGTAGAGTCGTTTCTTTTTGAGAAAAACGTGTCTTGTCGGGTGCAGTTATTCCCGTACAAAGAATTATACACTCTCACTCCATGACATATACAAAGGTTTATTGAAAGGTATAGCTGTTAGCTCAGTATTTGTAAACAGTGTTGGTATAGACTTACACGACACACATTTTCGTCTCATTCGGTCACGATGTTTGTCCTCATTACGTAACATATCGTCGGCCGCATTTCTGCACGATTGTCACTCTATTTCGCTTATCTAGGGTACAATAAACAAAAATCATAAATTTACTCTACTGTTATAAGAAGATGTAAAATTGAGCTGATTTATAAACTTAAGTTGCGTGAACCGAACCAAGTAGACAGAAAATGAAGGAGAGTCAAGAAATGAAACATTATCAAAGAGATGACAAGGCGAATCAGTTCAATTTTATCATATGATTAATATCCATCGCGATCGTGCGAAGCCAATTACGCGACCCGTTCCCTTTCCCTAGCACAATAGGATCTGTGTCGACCTAAGTTCACAATAAGAGTACAAACCGCCCTGCCTTCTGGTACCCGAGGCAAGAAAAATGTTATAACACCTCAGCTGATAGTCTGTCGGTATAAATCAGTGACGAGCTAGAATACATTTGAGAATATACGATGGTCACTCAAATGCATTTGCTTCTTTACAAAGTAAACATAAGTATGCTGGGACACTCTCCGCTCGTAATGACACAGTACAATCTACCTACACTGAAATAGTGTAGGCAGGTATCTTGCAACATTACCTATACCTGTACGTTCATAGGAAGGCTCAATCTCCGAGATGAACACGTTCAGAAAAAGGTAATGGAAGATATGCGTTCTCATATTGCTATCTCTCCTAGAAAAAACGTTATGATCATACTCTGAACGATATATAGCTACAGACCGTAACATAGCTGCTTGCTCACCACTCATTTCGCGTGTTTGGCAATGATTGGTGCTTAAGTCGGTCGATATAATGACCCATACCGACCAATAAGTGGAGTGGTACCGAAACTTACGTTCGAAGTTGATGATCCTTCGAGATTTACTTAGGAAGGTATACTTTGCTGTATACATACTATCAATTGAGATAATATTGTGCTTGACCTATTTTTGGATCGAAAACATGCAACGGGACCACCCTTTACAAGACTGTACACGAAACCGTACCGACGCACACCGCATAAACATGTTGATCATTTGATGGAAAACGCTCTGGCAAATTGTCAGACAATGGTAAATCAATGATCAGACAAAAATTTGCAAATATTCTTTTGGTGACCCGAGAATGGAGCTTATCGTCTCCTTGAGTCACTAGTTTGTTCATTGGTTGAATAAGTAGTCATCACATACATACGATCTCATCCATTGTTATTGTGGCAGATTGTTCAGCTGTTTGCCTGATCTCTTTTTAAGATTTTAGCCCTGTGGAACATGATCGCATGTTTGCTCCGGAGAGGGGAACTCAAGCCGGCAATCTACACCTTAGAAAGCGGCTTTCTGCACCAATGCATCAGAGAGAAACCCCATTTTCGATTAGTTAAGAACCTCGATGTAACGGTCTGGTATAGTTGCGCGACCTAGGCATTGTAGCAGAAATCTCTGCTTTTCATAGAATCATTACAAGTGCCCTGCCCTGACTGGATGAATCCGAGTGCTTCAAAACTTCACTTGCATTAAGTTTAAGTCGATATAAATCACAGCGATTGTACTTTCTACTCTTCTCCTGTAGTTTATTTCAAAGGAAGGGTAAAAAGCACCATGAAACGCTGATTCTGATCGTTACGAATTATCTAGATGTCTGTCGATCATATAAAAACACAAAGTTGATAGAACCTAAACGCTTGCCTTTCCTTGCGTGTGCTCTTGCTTCAGTTGAAAGTAGGTTGATGCCACGATTGATATCAACCCATTCGCAAAGTTTAGCATCCGCCATTACATATCGTCCCAAGCATGAGACTTATTACGTACGATAAACTTTGAGTTTCCAAAGGAAGATTTTATTGGTGGTTTGAATAACATCAAATTAAGCCGCGATCTGATTAAGACGCATCACACGCAACATAATAGTGCACAAACGATGCATACTCTATACCTACAAGTATCTACATGGATGGGACCATTCCTAATATCAACGCTTTATCGTTTCGAGTTCCTCTCGTACCTGACTCGTTATAAATCTTTGATAGTTATACTGTCTACAGACACTTTGCAAGAGTATATGATGCATTGATTTTTCTATCGTAGTCGAAGAGAGTCGTTTACATTGTTTTATGTATGGCCACATTACTTCGATCTCTATTATCGATATTCGAATGTTCCAACATTGTTTACTATGTAGCCGTGGACTTGGTGGCGCTGTCGAGTTCAAATGGAAAGATAGTGCAGTGTGAAAGCGTCGCTTCATAATGGTGCAACAGTTTTTATGGAACGAATTACGGAAAGATGCGATGACCAACAAATAGAGCCAGCAAGAGCAGACAGTATACTGAGAAGATGAGAGGACACTTTGTTGCTTTTACTGGAAACTATGGAGTTGATTTCGGACACTCAAAGTGGAGCACACGCTGATTATGTGCCCACTGTTGATGAATGTTATGGCGCCTACTCAAGTATCTACTAATGGTGGCAATAATTTTGTTGCGGATTTAGAAATGTAGTCTATGGATAGTGTGCAGCATCTATTTTGGAGTGGAATGCAGAGTGCATACAGTTGGTTGGTCCTCGGTCCTCTTGGTATACATTCAAGATGCGTCACGATATACTGACACTTCGTTTGCCATTACTCAAAATGGTCGGATTCTAGGCACTAATACGGAAAGATAATGCTCACGTCATGAAATAAATGTATCCTCTGGCATATGAAGTTGCGTATCCACAGCATTCATGGTAATATAGGACTTAACAAAACGATATGGTGCCCGCAAGCCACCGAGAGCCCCATCTCTTTATCGTTGCTGCGGCATTAAATGCATTTCCATATCCCGATTGTGTTTTTGAATCGCTCTTAGTACGTGAATGTTGTATACGCACATTGTACATCGGTAGTGCATTGTTTTCAAAATAAATTATAAGCGTGGCGTTTATCTTGAGGTGCACCTCGCGATTGTTTCGTGTAATATAATTATCGAGAAATTATAAATATTGTCATCTACTTGATGTTTATAATAATCATTATTCGATTCAATAATATTGGATTTGATCGAGTTTAGAAAGGATCAGATTTATTGAATTATTAGTTTTTTCACTGAGAATTTTAATCGCTGGTTACGATTTTTAATCGTCGATATCATGCTAAAGCTATCCCGTTGTCGCGCTGTTTTAAATCATCCGACTATTCGTCTTTCGCACAATAGTCACATCAATACAAGATACCTATTTCTAGATCAGCTATCCTTCCTTGCAAGCCGCCGCCCATGCGGTTCCAACATTTAGAACATGGAATCTTCAACAGTGACGGCAAATTCTCGTAGCACGACTACACAAAATGCATTACCTTATCATGACCGACTACGTCATCCGCGTGCAACGTTCGTGTTTTTCGATCGATCACATGAGTGAGACGCAACAAGTCTGCCACTATCGTCTGCGTGCAATTGTGGGAATCGTGCCATCTCGCAAACCGACACCATGCTTGGATATGGGATGGCTTCTTCCTAATAGCAGTCGAGAGGACATGTCGATTCGGTGCAAAGCACTCATTGGCGCGTAAAGTTTATCGTCACCTTTAGAGAATTTCGGATCTTCTATGTTTGAGTGTACGATGGTCATACCCACGACCCAAAGTTCTTCTAATAGACCTTTGTCGCTAAAGTGTGACCGAATTCGACTGGATCGATTCTTTGAACTTACGTATCGATTGCTTTTGTACCTCACGACCTTTATCACAAGCCATTTGTATCTCGGTAAGCTGCATCTGTACACATAAACACCACGCAATTCATGTCCATTGAGAAAAAAGAAGATGAGGCCAGCTGTACTTGGTGCAAGATACTTTCACTCAATCCCGTTGAGAGGCACTTACTACCTGTACACATGTCAACTGAAGCAGCAAAATTCTGTCGATGCAACGTGACAAGGCGCTGTACGAAGCTGCAATCCTTTTGAAACACCGTTGCTGCTCAACGGGTCAACGACTTGCAAGTTACGTGACATTGTACAACACTTTTCACCGACGATCAGTGCCGGCGGCCCTGGCAATAGCTGCACAAAACGTCGTCGATACACATATAAATTGACCGGTTATGCTGCCATCTACGGGTGGATATTATTGCTACGCAACTGGAACGAATCATACTGCCGGGTCCCCCAAGCATTGTAGCTCTTGCGTATCAGCTGGTCCACGCGGTGACGAATGTCTCGTCGTGAACATCCGACGCACAAACGTGTGCGCAGGTCCGCAACAATGCGCCCCAACTTTGCGCCGTGAAAGCAGGGAAACGGAGAGTGCTGCCCTGTGGTCTGCAGCAACGCGGTAATCTCGGAACTATACTTTCGAAGAGCCACGAAGCCCTTCACCAGACAATGACGGAAGTGTGCATAGCCCGTAGAACCTACACCGCCCATCACATCCACCATTTCCTTTGTCAACTTGAACGGTGCATCTTCGACGCTGAACATGCCACCAGGAGCAATGCCTAGAATGAAGCCAAAGTCGATATGGATTATACGACCCTCCGAGCTGAGCAAAATGTTGCCGTTGTGACGGTCCTTGAGCAGTAGCACATAGCTGACAATGGAATACGCTGCCAAGCTCTCAATAAACCGACGCTGGGCAGCAATGAACTCCGGACTGAGCACGTCGCCATACGCACTTCGGAAATACTCGGATAAATCGCCGCCGGGAAACGTCTTCTTGAGGTGGTCCAGCGAGCAAGCATCGGTTATTGTCTCTAGTAGACCAATGTTGGCTCCAGTGGCAACGATTCGGTACGTGCGCAGCCACAATTCCGGCGCCTCAAATTCGAAGATGGACTTGAGTTTGTGAATGAGCTGCATGGTAAACACCTCCTGACGCAAGTCATCGTTTGTCTTTATGATCACAGAGAAAAGGTCCCACCCAGGCATTTTTCCCATCGGCGACTCGCTCTGAATACGCGCTTTGCGCTCCTCCCAGCTCTCACCAAACACTTTGCTGTCGTACACAAAGCTCTCAGCGCCCAAGCGCCCAGCACGAGTTCCAACTCCCATCTTGCAGCCGCGACTGGGTTGCGGAAGGTGGGGCATTATGCTTGTATGGCGCCTGCCAGTAGCCGACGCGGGCGCTTCTTGCCCGTTGCATTCTGTGTTCGTACGCAGATATGAAGCGCTGTCAGAACAACCATTCACCTTTCCATTGGTGCCGGCTGATACAGTGCTATCCTGGTAACGGGCCACATCAATCGGACAACTGACGGGCTCAGCAACTGTGCTCATTGGTGTCATGAACGCTACTGTTGAACTGCTGCCCGGCGACATCATCGTTTCCCCGCTTAACGAAACGCCAGAGACTTCGTTCTCGTCAAAAACTGCTGACTCGAAAAACGTAGAGTTGCAAGGCTGGGAACTGAATACGAACGGACGGAGACGACCGCTATCGCAGTCATCAAGGCCTATCGCACCAGCACTTTGTAGTGGAACTGTCTCGACAAAGATGAGAGTTGGCGCGCGCATCTTGGTAGAAAACACTTTGCCTTCTGCTGGCGGGATGCGCACCACTCGGTACAGCTCATCGGATGCCGCACTGAGAGGGTATAGTGCCGATGATCGGAGGGTACTGTTAAGTATCTCCAGCTCGCCAGCTAAATACTTGCCACGGTCTGATACAGGTTGGATGTGACGAAGCCGTTCGCTGATGGCCGCCAACGACTGCACAAAACTAACTTGTTCGAGAACCAGCGAATTGATCCCAGACCCCGGCAAATCATCGGATAGACTGCTTCCTTCAATCTCCAACGAATCATACAGGATACTCGACTGAAATTCGCACAGTTCAATGCCTGATGCCGCCAACTCCGCAGCACAACTTTCAAATTGTGACCGCGTTGTGGCATTCAGCCATCGCTCCATCATCGAATCCGGCTCTAGTGCAATAAGTTTTTCCATGTCGGCGTTCACTTGTCTCAAGTCAGCCAAGATCTGCGCGAGCTGGTGTTCAGGACAGTCGGCAAAGACAATGTCCTTCCACACACTAAACATGTGCGAGCTCTCTGGCAAAGTGGTGTTCGGGTAGATAAATCCAAGCAGCGACAGCAACGTGTGCGGATGTAGGTTATGGCACTTGCCATCAGCTGCAGATGCCTGGACGTGCCAAATCGTCTGCAGAGCAATGCGGGGGCATCGACGACATATAGCCCGGATATAGCGTTGCAGATAAAAGAGCTGAAGGGCACAGCGCGGCTTGGGCTCGGCGTCCAGACATTGCACGAGGTGCAGCAGCTGGTACCACAGATTCTCCAGTCGATCGACGCACGTCTCCGTGTAAAACGGCAGTCGCTCGCACGCCACGCGAAACAGCTGCGGCTTCTTCCGCGTCTGGTACAAAATCTTAATCGTGCGGTTCAGCGTCATCGGTCGACGACGGAGTTTCTCCAGCACGGGCGCAAGCACCTCATCTCGACCCTTCATGTCGACGACCACAGCCCCCGGTTCGTCCGCGCGGGCCACGAGGTCATCCATCGAGACGCTTCGACTGGCGATCGGACCCAAGACCCGCGTCATGGTCTTCAAGTGCCGGATAAACTGCTGCCGCTGCACGCAGTGGTCGCAGCAGCGCCGCACGGCCCGCAAGCCCAAGTGCTCGAGCCGCGTGCCGACGCTGCAGTGCTTTGCGCAGAACGCGCGGGCGCACGACCCACAGACGACGCGCCGCACGACCAGCGACCGGAACCGCGAGCCGCACGTGCTGCAGCCCGTGTCTCCGCACGCGGTCCGCACCTGCGTCCGCACGTGGTCGTGGTCCGAGCCGCTCGAGACCGACGACGGCGCGTCGGTCGGCCGCTCGTCGGGGAACGCGCACGGCGTTGGCGGCCGCCGCCGCAGGTCCGACGGGACGATCCGACGGCCGCCGTCGTCCTGCGCGTGCGTCATGAGGACCTGCGACGCGCTCTTGGACTGCTGCAACGCCGTCTCGAGCGCGTGGCGCCAGCGCGCGGCGTCCAGCGGCGTCTGCGCCACGCAGAGCAGCAGCCGCTTGGACGTCGTGCGGACGGCGAACGCGTTGGCGTACGTGCGGGCGAAGGCGCTGCGGCCGTCCCAGGGCTCGAGGCTCTGGACCCACACTTCGCCCCGCAGCTGCGAGTCGGTCTCGGCGGCCTGTTGCGTGCGGTACCAGCGCAAGCGCGCGCCTTGGAGGACGCAAAAGCGCCACGACCCCATGTACATGTGGGTCGCGTAGCGCTTGCGCAAGTAGCCGTGGAAGAGCGGCAGTGGGAGAGGGAGCGACAGCGGCGGCCTTTTGGATGAAGGCGCGCCGGGAGCGGTCGTGGCCGCTGCCTCCGACGTTGCGTCCGCTGGCATTGGATGTACGACCGTCAGGAGGGAGGAATGTGTGCACGGAGAAGAGACCGGAGGTTAGAGGTGGTAGAGGACGACGCGCAGTGTGGCGTTGTTGCCGTTGTGGTGGTGGTGACTGACGTGACGTGTCGTGTCGTGACGGAGGGGGCGGCGCGAGGGCGTCGAATGTGGCGGCACTGCTACCGGAGCTTTTCGCTTATCGGCTGTGTCGGGTGTGTCGGGTATTCGATTCTGGAAGCCCGTGGGGAAAATCGATGCGAGAGAACGTCGGAAGGCGGTGTGGGTGGGTGGGTGGGTGAATGGGTAGTCGGTTTATTCGACTTCCTATGAATGAACTTACGCTGACTGGAAACAAAACACACGCACGCTCTTGAGTCGCCATTCACCCATTCTGTCTTTCTTTATCCGATGCAGAGAAGTACGAGCACGAGCAATAGTGAGCCAGATGGTCGGCTGGGGATGACGGACTGCGAACTGGGGAGAGTGGACGCGAAAAGCAGATGGCGTGAGGTGTGCTGGACGTCGAGAGAGAAGAAACGGGTCCGATGCGGCCCGTTTCTGCGTAGCTTACGGAAGAGCGTTGACGACGGGAAAGAAAAGAGACAACTGCGCACCGTATCAGCGACGCTGGACTCTATGATGACGGGAGGCTGCCAGGACCGGTACGAGTTATTCTTTGTGCGTGCTCTATGGTCAGCGCCGGCTATTTTTTTGTGTCTTTTCGAATCTCGGAATCCGGACCTTTCGAGCGTGCTTCGTTTCTTTCACTTTTCATGGGTTTTAATCGGAAACGTGGCGTAAACATTGAACTGCGTGTTGGTACAGCTGGACGACAATCGATGGAGTGTGAGCTTGAATTGGGCATGCGAAAGGGCACTGCAATACAGACGTGCGGACATGGTCTGCTTCGTTTTGTTGAGATGCTGGTCAGCTTCGGCGTATTTCTGCGACTTGTCGTCTGCTGAGGTTCGCATTCAGTGAGGTTTCGATTAGAAGGTAAATATACACATATCACGTGAGACCTTCAAGCTGTTGTGCATTATGCAGTATCTTCGAATTTACTTGTTAAATCGATTGATTTTATCAAAACACACGGACTTTGTAAAACATGAACAACACAAATGCTGCTCAAGAAACGGCCACAGAGGTGTGACTTGACGCAATTGTTCTAGCGTGCCTCCACTCCTCTAGTTCCTCCTGCGGCGGATACTGTACTTCGATGCTGACGCAGGTGGCGAGTCCTTCGTGAAATGGTCGGTCTCATCTACGAGAGAATAGCCATCTCCTGTGCCGCCTTAATTCGCAGCTTCACCGGCGACCTCCTCCTCGCTCTCTTTCTTGTCCTTCTTGCCATCCCCATCATCCTCCTTATCCTCGTTCTTGGTACCACCCCCTTCCTTGTCTTTGCCATCATCGTCTCCCCCTTGCTCTTGTTTACTCCGCCGTGGCCACCACTTTTGTCATCAGTACCAGTTTCTTGCTAAACACTAAAACCACCCGAGGGCGCAGACAGTGATGAGCCTTTCCTCGCTCTCGAGCTTCCACCTGAAGGTGCGCCTTTGTTGATGTGCACGTCGCTCTTCGTGTACTGACAGAGCGGGGGCGACGGCCCATCGCCCAACATCTTAGGCTCACGGCCGGCGGTGGTGCCCTGCGACCACTGGCAGACCTTCACTTTCTTCTTCTTAGACGTGACCCAAATGTTGCTCAGCGTGGCCTCGTCCTTGTAGTTCTCGTTCACCGTCACGAGGGCTTTCTGCAGATCCACGACGTACACATTCGAGACCTCCACCATCCGCATCCTATTACCACAATTGCCACACGAGCGGTAGAGCTTGCCAATGTCTTCTCCGTAAAAACCGTCGATCTTGACAGTACCGACGCCGTTGTGCTGGACAACCTTGTCTTCGGCCAGCCGAGCGCCGCCACCAATGACCGTCGAAACACTGGACGCGGTGCCATTTTGAATAGTGAGCGCATCCTCGCAGACGTCATCCCACCAAACGTTGTCAATCACGCAGTCATGTTCATCGCAATGAACACCCTCCATTTGGTCCTTGCCGATGATGGCATTTCGGAGCGTGCCACCAGCTTCGACAAGGAAAACAGCGGTGTCCGACATTCTCTCGTTCTGTCCTTGGCACGTGATATCCGATCGCTCGAATGTCCGCATCTTTCCATCAAAGTCCTCGCCAGCCTTGATGACTTGCGGTGCCTTGAGCCGAACCAAACCAGTGCTCTTGGGCCACGTCCCATCGGGCACTTTTCCTCCGCCGGTGGACGGTTTGCTGCCCCGTCCACCAGTTGATGCTGCTCTGGTTTCGAGATCACTAAACCCCTCTTTGCCACCACCGCCGCCATTGTCACCGCCGCCATTGTCGTCCTTACCTCCATGTTTGTCATCACCGCCATATATGTCATTGCTGTATCTTTGGTCAACGACATCACCCCCCTCGTCAGCAGTTTCGTCCTCTCCACCGTTCGTGCCGTCGTCGCCGCCACCTGGGGACACGACGCCAGCTTCTTGCTCAACACTGTCACCACCCAAGAATGCAAACGGTGACGAGCCTTTCCTCGGTTCCGAGCTTCCACCTGAAGGTGCGCCTTTGTTGATGTGCACATCGCTCATTGTGTACTGACAGAGCGGGGGCGACGGCCCATCGCCCAACATCTTAGGCTCACGGCCGGCGGTGGTGCCCTGCGACCACTGGCAGACCTTCACTTTCTTCTTCTTAGACGTGACCCAAATGTTGCTCAGCGTGGCCTCGTCCTTGTAGTTCTCGTTCACCGTCACGAGGGCTTTCCGCAGATCCACGACGTACACATTCGAGACCTCCACCTTCCGCATCCTATTACCACAATTGCCACACGAGCGGTAGAGCTTGCCAATGTCTTCTCCGTAAAAACCGTCGATCTTGACAGTACCGACGCCGTTGTGCTGGACAACCTTGTCTTCGGCCAGGCGAGCGCCGCCACCGATGACCGTCGAAACACTGGATGCGGTGCCATTCTGAATAGTGAGCGCATCCTCGCAGACGTCATCCCACCAAACGTTGTCAATCACGCAGTCATGTTCATCGCAATGAACACCCTCCATTTGGTCCTTGCCGATGATGGCATTTCGGAGCGTGCCACCAGCTTCGACAAGGAAAACAGCGGTGTCCGACATTCTCTCGTTCTGTCCTTGGCACGTGATATCCGATCGCTCGAATGTCCGCATCTTTCCATCAAAGTCCTCGCCAGCCTTGATGACTTGCGGTGCCTTGAGCCGAACCAAACCAGTGCTCTTGGGCCACGTCCCATCGGGCACTTTTCCTCCGCCGGTAGACGGTTTGCTGCCCCGTCCACCAGTTGATGCTGCTCTGGTTTCGAGATCACTAAACCCCTCTTTGCCACCACCGCCGCCGTTGCCTTCGCCATCGATGTCACTTTCCCAACTTGGAGTGTCCGAAGACTTTCGGCCGCCAGTATCGTCGCGAAACATGTAACTATGGGAGTCTTGAGCTGAAGTCCCGCTGAGCGTCGCGCCGACGAGCAGCATCGCGGAAGCAAGCATTGCCGCGCGAACTGAGACCATGGCGCCGTCGCGAGTTGATGCCTTGTGATGTGATGAAGACGCTTGTCGGGTGCGGCTCCAATTGCTTTATGCACTCACTCACATTCTCCGGAGTCCGACGGCGTCTATCTAATGCGCCCGTAGACGGCATGTATCCAGTGTGCCCGTAGACGGCTTGTATCCGATGCGCCCGTAGACGGCGTGTATCCAATGTACCCGTAAACGGCTTCAGTAAGCGAAATGTCGGCGACACAGTTTACCGACGCAATATTTCACTATGCCGACCAGGCCTATCGTTTTCGCATAGCAAAAGTATCTTCTCGACGGGCCCCCGTACCCTGGACAGGAAGTGTCCCATAGTGAAGCCCGAATGGGTGGCGACGCATTGTCTCCGCTGCGCTATGCCACAGAAGGCACCGCAGCGTGCGACTGGAACGGGGCGTTTCGAGGCGTGGGGCTCTCGTCGACGAATTGTTGTACGAGACAGCCGTCATTAAGGCCCAAAGTCGTTCCTGCTCTCGTCCACGTCCGTCGTCGAGCTGCCAACCGTTCACGACCGCATGTCTCGCCCGCCTGACGAATACTTGCCTCGAAGGTAGGAGTACTTACTGGCCGTTCCCGTCTAGTATTGGAGCTGCATGCCACGCTTGAAGGTGGTCCATACAGAGTTGTCCATAGTGTTGAATGGTCGGCCTTCCGACCCTTGCTTTCTACATGCACCCTGATCAAAGTCGACGGTCACACGCACCCTTTACGAAGTACCCCCCCACCTTTTCTCGTTGACGCCCGATATTTTGAGCCAGACAGGATTGATTAGCCATCGAGGAGGCGAGCAATCTCGTTTTCGCACAAGCCTGAAGCATGTTTCCATACAGCTTCATCTTGGATCAGTAAAACGTGCCCGTGGGACAGCCCAAATCCCTCTCCCTCTCTTCCTGTCCGAAGGTACCTTCGTCTGGGTACCTCACAATTGCTCACTGACTTCGTCTGCTTGTAAGATGTCGCTTGCCCGTCGAGAGATGTCGTCCATTGCGGTCTCAAGCTCGTTCAACATACCGTGAATCAGCTCACCGAGCTTGAGACCGCCACGTAGCAGCTACACGACATATGGAGCTTAGGGTACACATTGCGAGACCTTTAGACAAGAGAGCAAAACTCGAGCGACAGGCGATAGATTGGATAGCTCGAAAGCATGTACGTCGTACCTGCTACTTATAAGCTGAGAGCAGATATGTCGTGGGCGAACGAGGGATTCATACGCTCGCTTGTATCAGCAAAGCAGTCGTCCTCAAGGCCACCTCATGTT